AGGTAGGTCCCTTGCACTAGATAGTGAAGTGAGTGATGTGAACCTACATCTGTTCCCCTTCGTCATCCGATCTGATCTTGTGTCCAGTAGGCTGAGTGCCCACTTTCTTCACATTGAGATTAAGTCGACCTGATTCTCAGTGTAGTGTGTCCGTCTAGTGAAGTCCATGTCGCTTTGTGAATATTCTTGTGTATGTGTACTTTGCTTTCAATAACCAAATCGTTGAATGCGCAGAAATCTGCAAACAGTTCTCCATCCTCATTCATTATTTCACTCAGTGCTTCTCGACTCATGATGAGTTCTCTTCCTGTGTTGTCTGCTCTGAGTTTGGCATTCATTTCACCCAATACAATTTTGATGTCACCATCTGGGGTGTTGATCTTGTCTATTACTGATTGCAGTTGTCAATAGAATTCCTCCTCCTTTGCCTGATCTGCATTATTTTTGGGTGTGTAGCGTAGCATTGTATAGTTGTGACTCTCCTTCTTTCTGAGTTTAACCTTGCTATCATGATGCTGGAGGAGGAGATTGGCTCCCTTTGCCTGAGAGAGAGGGATCCTTCGATGATCTTCAAGGGGACATTATGATAAGCACTCCAGTACTCAGTGTGCTGGTCGTTGTCGTGTGTGTGACAGTATCGGAGTAGATTATTGACTCCTCTCCAGTTGAGAGTTTGGAGAATCCACTTGAATTCCATTTGCTGATTCCTAATACTTGTATGCTATATCTTCTCATCTCTTTTGCAATCTGGGAATACTTGGGAGCCAGCTTCAAACATTGTGTGGACATTCCATGTCCCCATGCTTACTTTCTCTTTCATCGAGAGAAGACATATGGGCGAATTGTCTTCCCGAATGCTTTCGCCAACCGGCGTCATTTCGTCTCTCCGATTCGATCGAGGATTTATTTTGTTTTTATTTTTTATATTTTGTCTGTGCTTTTAAGTTTCTTTAGCGGTTGGAATGTTTTTCCGTTGTAGGGTAACTAGCTCTATGCCAAACCTTCCCTCTTTATCCCAGTTTTGTAGGGCTAGTGACTAGTGAGCTAGATACCTAGGCGATGTTGTTCATTGGATGGTTGGGTTTAAAATTTAGATATTCATCGGAATGAGGTTTGGTGTAAGTTCTTATTTTAAACTCGTCTTCAGAGATGTGCTTTGAATACGACAGTCTACGAAATCCAAATTTCCTGCACTGGATCTCGTCTTATTCGTGAATCCTTTGAAGTTGGATATCATGTTTAAATGCTGTAATAATCTTTCATGTCCTGTCTTCTTAATGATGACGAGAGTATCATCTACAGTAAAGTTTACGGTTGACAGTGAGAATCCTTGAAAACACTTTCTTCGAATTCTTTTATATGTAAACTGACTACAATCGGAGATGCTGAGGAATCCGTGTTTGAAGTAATATCATATTGAGACGTTTTCAATAATTTAGGTAGTCGATATGTTACTGAATTAGTAAAGACCACATATAGTCTGAGCGGAATGTTCACTTTGTGTATTTTTGGTCTGCCATAAAATCTTGTTTTCGATTTTCTAAGCACGCTAGGTTTATACAAAAACTTACCCATGTAATAAGTAATAGATATCTAACGTTTAAAACATGCTAGCCTAAGGATTAACGTCGCAGACCACAGTGATTATTTTCTACCTATTTTCATCATTAAATGGTATATTTCACTCCGAATTTATGTGATGTTGTAGATTCCTTGTACAAATAGTCGTGTATTGGTACCTTCACTACCTATATACATACGCTGAATGCTTAGTTGGCTACTGAGTCTAATTTTCAATTTATGTTCATCTAGTATTGATATCCGTTATTCACCTTTTAACAACACAAGGTAGTTCAATTCAACACTTGGGAACAGTAGACACGCTTCATCGGTAAGTCCCAAATGTATTTAGCCAGACAGATAGGCTACAACGATTTGCTGGTCCATGTAACTGATTCAAGCTCACGTCGAATGAAAGTTATCATCGATTGATACTTGGTATCTCCCGTCTGTTATACTGGATAGCATTACTCGTCGTTTGCTGATAGATGGCGTCCTATGTGGTTGCCTCATTAATATCCGGATAGTTTACATGGTGGTAGCCAGAAGTGGAATTGAAGTTGCATCTTTCGAACATTGCATAGTCACACAAATCACCTTTCATGAAACGCGTTTCACTCTTTGCTGGTGCTCATCATCTTCCGGTGATAAGTATACTGCAGTGCGTTGATGAGTCTCTCTCTCGATATAAGACCTCCTTAAACGTAAACATCAAAGTATGATTTTGATGCCAAGTGCTCGCTAAAAAACAATCCCCGTTTCTCTTCCTGTGATCAGTTCACGTGACTGATAGCCAGTGTCAAACAGTTTTGCGAAGTAAATAAATTAATTATAAACTACAGAAATGTGACTGGACAGATAACGCAATGTGTTCTTAATATAGGTGTAAAACTTGAGCATTATGACAGAATCCAATTTCATATTGGATTTGTTTATTTGATTTATAGCACACAATGTGATACAGTATTATCTACTGGATGATGTTTCGAGCATAAATTACTTATTCCTCCTCATAATTATATCAATGTAATCACACTCCACTTTCGAGATATCCGATTTTTATAGTGTTGTCACTCACACCCATTCTAACTAACCTCAACCGGCTAGTTTGACCTACGTACTTGACCTCGCAGTCATTACATGGAATTTGATAGATTAGGTTATTTGGTGCTGTAAAATCCTTAAGCCAGCCGGCAAAGCTTATCTCTGAGTGAATTTTTAGGTTTAAATGTCACTCTAATTCCATCTATGTTGAGGATCCTACTTAAAGTTCCTGATCTACCTTCCTTCTTTATAAGTTAACAGAATGGAGGCTGTGAACTCCTCTCTACTCATGCTGTCGTTATTATTCGTACTCGTATGACTGTTGTCTTTTCGTATCTAGTATGTTCGTACGAATTTCTTAATAAACTACGGAGGAGAATTATTAACTACCAGTCCTTCAGTCCCTTGTTTAGGTCCTTGCACTGACTATTCAGTTTTCCAGTTCTATCATTTGGACATTTGACTAAACCTGCATTAACTGACTGGCATTGGATGAGGTTATTTCAAGTCTAGATACCTGCTAGAATGTGTCGATTTACTGTAGATGGTATTATCCAAACCACCGTCTGCCCTTCGTTTCATCCTGCGACTCTCCTTGTTCATTTTCTACCTCGTTGTAAGTGAATTAGATTGCGTCTACTACTGAGTTTATATGTGAGAGAAAGTTTTTGATATGCTCCGATTTCAACACAGTAAACGAGTCACGCACATATCACCAACATATTTTCGGTGCAGGATAAAGCGTTTGTAACGCCATGTTTTCCTAACTATCCATAAATATATCTGCTTCGACTGGGGATATTAGTGATTCCATTGCTACTCCTTCTGTTTGTCTGTACATTTTTTCTTGGAACTTGAAGATTGTGGAGTTCAGACACAACTGTACACTTAATATGATCTCATCAAGCGATATCTTAGTTCTGAGTCAATATAATTAGTTGACTTCTGATTGCCTCCAGTGCCATATTGATTGGTATTTTAGTATACAGACTAGTTACATCGAAGCTAACCATTTTTGCATCCTCTTCTATGCGTAGGTCTTTAAGTCTTCGTTTTAACTGATGAGAGTTTACTAATCTAGAATTTGAACGGTTCCTAATAAGGCACAATATTCAAGTACTTTGTTAGTTCATATTTTGGGGTATTCTTGAAGTCAACTATAAGCCTAATATAATAACCTGGTTCATGACCCTTATTAGTACCATAAATTCTGCTAAGATTATTAGTTTTAGCCATTAAATTAAACCACTGTGTTCTTAGTTCGAACCTTAATCCCCTTTTTTCAATCTGAGCAATAAGTGTGACTTATAGCCTAGTATAGACCAGCACTGAAGACACTACATGCCAAGTAATTCAGGATGGAAAGCGTAGTGATGCTTTCGAAGTGAAGACAGGAGTAAAACAAGGCTGTCTACTAACACCCATGATATTCCTCATTGTGGTGGACTGGACTCCATCATGCAACAAACAGTGAGGAGCAAGAAGAAGGGGACACGTTAGCTGGACCGCAGAAAAGAACCTAGAAGATTTGGATTTCGCCAATGACTTGTTTCTAATGTCACATAAACTTGAAGATCTACAGGCGAAAATAAACAAGTTGACAGAAGAGTCAGGGCAGCGAAGACAGGACTTCAAATGAATGTAGAGAAGACAGAGGTGATGAAGATATCCAACCAACACCAACACCAACAACGGGAGAAATATAAAGGAAGTAGCCTCTCCCACCTATCTAGGTAGCACTGTTTCAACTACAGGTAGCACAGGCACAGACGAGGATGTCAAAGCCAGCCAGGATCGGAAAAACAGCAGGACAGGTGTTCATTAGCCTGAAACCAGTGTGGGGATCGACTTCACTCAGTATGTGGAACAACATCTGGATTTTCAACACCAATTCAGTCAAGTCAGTGCTGCTATATGGTTCAGAAACTTGGCGTGTCACGAAAAGCATTACCAACAAACTACAGACATGCATCACATCAACAACTGCCTACACTGGCTCATTACTGAAGATCAGATGGCCAGAATAATAAAAATAAGCAACAAGGAACTCTGGCTGGCTGGCTGGCAACGAACCAACTAACAACCTATCACTCAACAAATATGCGGTGGAAGGAAATGAAGATGGATTTGGCATACACTGAGAAGACTATTGGAGGACATCACACGCCAGGCCAGGTACTCAAGTGGAACCCCGATGGGAAGCGACAAGTTGGGCGTCCTCGGTGAGGGTGACATGGAGGAGATGGTGTCAGGAAAAAATGAAAGCTTGTGGGCTGTCGTGGAACTAGGTGCGAAAGACTGCAGAGAACAGAGTGCACTGGAGACGTGCTACTGAAGCCCTATGCTCCATTAGGAACCCAAGGGACAAATAATAATAATAATAATAATAATAATAATAATAATAATAATAATAATAATAGACCAGCATTCTGTCAATAACTATCAATCACATTCCTTTGGAAAGTCATAAGCCACATTTATTGTGTGATCTATTCAGAAATCGTTCGATCGCTAACATTGCAGTAGACAGGCTTGAGATCAAACTTCATTGATAGGCAAAAATTTCCAAAACTGAAACCGTATATGTACACACTACTAACAACGATACTACTCAAAAAAGTAGTGTACAAATAATGAAATAAATAGTTTATTTGTATTGATACAAGGTTAACAAAGAAGAGATTTATAAAACGATAAGCATTGAAAGTCACTGAGAAGCACGAAAGACAATGCAAGCCAAACAGATATGTATATACACACACATATATAACTGTCTAGTGAAAGACGTTGAATTACTCTCCGTCGCAATTAAAAAAATGATTCAACAAATCACAAAGAAATTGTTGCATTTCTTTTTATATTCTGCCAACTGCTGCATTTACACTTGAACATACAACACAAACAAGTAAAGTATTAAAGCAGATGAATATTAATGGGAGATAAGCTAAGACATTGAAGCCAAGCGATTACAATGTTGTTAGTCGAGACATTCGAATCAACCAATCAGATAGCCGAATAACTAACCAATCAGATAAGCGCGTCAGTTCTGAATGCAATAACATCCATCATCATTAGGCGAATAAACAATTTACATTCTGATAGGCTGTCATGATCTCTGCATACACAGGTAAACACCCAACATAAACACGCACACACACAAATAGTTATTCCTTACCCTCTGGCAAAGATAAACGACAGTTCATATCCAATAGACGATCTTTCAACTTATTTTCAAACTCATTACGATATTCATTGAATAGCATTACATCACGAGATTGTTTCATCCAGAATTCATGAAAAGAATAAAATGTATAACCTGTAAAAAGAAAGGAAGCAATAGTATCAGGAGGAACGGATTAGTAACTTGAAACAGCCAGTCCACTTTATAACTTATGACAGAACAATAAAAAGACGTAATTTACTTGAAACGTGTGTGAGTGATAAATTGGTGGTATATAATTATCACTAACTGTCCCTTAGGTTCCTAGTGGGACATAAGGCTTCAGTAACACGCCTACATTGCACTCACTTCTCTACAGTCTCCTTAATCTGGCTTCACCATTGCACAAAAGCTTTCATTTCTTCATCACATCATCTCCTCCATGTCACCCTCGCCTGAGATCCCCAACTCGTCGTTTCCCCTCTCGATTCCAACCAACAGCCTCGTCTGGCGTGTAATGTCCCCAATCGGCCTTCTCACTCTATGCCCAATCCATCTCCACTTTCTTCCACTGCATATTTGTTGGGTGATAGGTTCTTGCTTCGTTGGTTCGTCACCAGAGTTCCTTGTTGCTTATTCTTATCCTTTCTCGCCATCTGATCTTCAGTGTCAGTATCGAGTGAGTGTAGGCGGCAGCTGTTCATATGATGAATGTCTTTAGTTTGTTGGAAATGCCTTTCGTAGCGCGCCAAGTTTCTGAACCATATAGAAGCACTGACTTGACTGAATTAGTGTTGAAAATCCAGATGTTGTTTACGCTTTATGCTGAGTGCAGAAGATCTCCACACTGGTTTCAGATTAATGAAGGAAGGCATGTGTTAATGTTTTTCCGATCCTAGTTGTCTATGACGTCCTCATTTGTGCCGCCTGTAGTTGAAACGATGCTTCCTAGGTAGGTAGGTAGGTAGGTAGGTAGGTAGGTAGGTAGGTAGGTAGGTAGGTAGGCAGGTAGGTAGGTAGGTAGGTAGGTAGGTAGGTAGGTAGGTAGGTAGGTAGGTAGGTAGGTAGGTAGGTAGGTAGGTAGGTGAAAGAGACAACTTCCTTTAGGTTTTTCCCGTCCATGGCGATTAGTGCTTGTTGTTGATGCTGTTGTTGGTTGGGTATCTTTACCACCTGTATCTTCTCTACGTCCATCTGAAGGAAGTTCCGTCTTCGCTGCCTTGCTTCTTCTGTCAACATGTTAGTCTTCACCTGTAGATCTTCGAGTTTGTGCGACAAGACATTAGACATAAATCATCATCGGCGAAATCCAAGAAAAGAAGCATAGTTCAGCGTATATGGGTGATTCACAAAGTCTTACCATCCAGTCATCGCATGAACATATTATTTAACAAATGTCAACCTTATAGAAAAGAAGAAACTTGTAAGCTCTCACAGAGATTGGAAAATCGAGGTCACATCTAGCTGCATTTATCGATTAGCATGTACATGTAGTCGCACACACTCGGGGGAGGGTTGATCTATAAGACTGAGGACCATGGAGCACATTCCAAGCTGGTTGCAACAGCAAGTCCAATCAAATAATCTCATTGACCCAGAGGATAAATATTGAACTTCGTGTGTGACTAAACATATCATTGAAACAGAGAAAACCAGCGTAGAACCTCGCACATAAATGCATGGCTACAAACTGCTATACTTCACATTAGCATACAAAGAAAAGAGGGATATCAAAGAAGCCAAAGCTGTGTGACAATTTGAAGATATTGGTTGGCTCAAATATTCAACGTTTAGATGTTGAAGTGTGAATACATCTGCGCCATTGACACCGATTTTTACGAAGGTTTCACCAAGTGTTCTTAACCACTGATTATTATCGTCTCTGCGATCCTAACCACGTAGTCTACATTTCCATACATGATCCAAACCTGAAGTCACGGACTTAATCGACTGATGGCACCCCTTGGTTCAATCACCCTGAGGTGCCCTCTTTTAACCGAATGCAGCTTCCATTAGCATTTAACGTTGAGACAGGTGATGGCTAAGCATGAGCAGTGCATGTTCAAGGTGTTTCAGTCGATGAAGGTTGACAGCCTCATCAACCGACTTGTTTGTCTTGCTTATTATCTTTCGCATGACGTCAACACTGCTCACACGGTGATTCCAGTATACACGAGAAATGTCACGAAGACTCCAGTGATCGAAAACCTGTAAGTTGTGGACAATTTGAAAGTTTGAGCTTGTTCATTCAATGTACACACTACTAAAAGCACAATACTTCAGAAAAACGAGACACGAATCCAGTAATGAAATCACTTTGACCATGGCTGTTGAGCAGTGCTAACTAGTGTAAAGAGGAAAGCACTGAACGCAACTCAATTCAGTATAGATGTCTATACACTAGGCTACGAGTCACACTTATTGTGTAAGGGGGTTAATGATAATCACCTCGTTATCCAGGTGCCGGTAGGTGAGATGGGTTACTAACCTATTGGTTGAATCTCCAGTGTTTAAGCCAATGAACCCACAGGCTAACATAAATTCTACATTCACTGACAAACACTGATCATGGGGAATTCGTCTTCATACACCTATCCTTGGAGTTTGAAACTAGGCATACCATTGCATTCTAGATTCGCGTATTCATGACTTGCAGTTGTTTAAGAAAAGATCAGTTTTCGTTGAAGGCATCGTTTCATATTTATGTATTGGTCCTCACTCAAATTATCAGTGTGAATTGTATCCTATTGATTTGTACACTTGACTTCTAACCGATAGGCCGAAATTCGAACTGCGCTACATCTACTGAGGGTCTCGGCAACGGGGGAGTGTTATTACCCCTCATACAAGACGTATGGCTTATTGACTACTACACGAATATGTTTCCTATTTCGATTCAGTGCCAATTATCAAGGGTGGTGGGGCTGTGGGGCTGAGGTTTAGGGAGATAACTATCATACATTTAGTTCCCTTGACAGATTTAAACAAACCAAGAACAAAGATATATGCAGAATAAAATGAGCTTATTTTATTTGACGGCCTTTCTTTCATCTACCATTCAAAAGTGATGAGGTATCGAAAAGAATAGAGAGAAGAATAAAAGATGCATGGAGAAGGAGCTTCCTTCCTGCCAAACTGGTCTCAGTTTGCAATACAGTATGCTCAACAACACAGTCGAAAGTGAACGAATATTCATCTCACGTCACCTCCAATTGTGTATATTAATTTATCTGTGCTTATGGAAGCATAGGACGAACTGAAAGAAGGGCGTCTATTCGATCTTATAAACATATTCTAAGAAATCTGTGTCTGAATGTTAGCATGACGTTTACCAGGAAAATTGCCAGGCAACTGTTAGAAACAGTACATCAAATAGATGTTTCTCAGTCTTTCAGGATAAGCAACAAACAAAGAACATGGTGTTTATTACAGTTTCTAGAAGCTCTTCCCATCAAACATTTCTGACCTGATCAGTACACTCACAAAGGAACTGTAATTAATCTTTCTTTACCTCGGTAACTGTACAAAAACGTTTTGGATGCGTAAGTATATGGTCTTCATTTTATTTTGATTGTATCACTTCTTCATTAATTACTTACTGATTGTTAATCGCTTAACGACTTTCCAGTTCTTTCATGTAATTACGTAACCTACTAGCTCTTTAACAACCCTTGTTGTACCCCCCCCCCCCGATAACCACTCCACAACTACAGATTTCATCACATCACTGATTTCGACTAAGATTTGAGATTATGAAAAGCTCAGTGACGTCTTCGAAGTGAAGACAGGAGTAAGAGATAGCTGTCTACTATCACTCATGATCTGCTTGACTGTGGTAAACTGGATCATGCAGCAAACCGTAAGGAATGAGAAGATTGGCACTCGCTGTTTGACCGATGAAAAGACCCTAGAAGATTTGGATTTCGTCAATAATGATTTATGTCCAATGTCTTGTCGCACAAATTAGAAGATCTACAGGCGAAAATAAGCAAGTTGACAGAAGAGGCATCGAAGACAGGATTTCAAGTGAACGTAGAGAAGACGGAGGTGATGAAGAGACCTAAACAACAACAGCATCAACAACAAGCACCAATCACCATTAACGGGAGAAATCTAAAGGAAGAAGTACCTTTCACCTACGTAAGCAGCATCGTTTCAACTACAGGCGGCACAGGCACAGACAAGGATTTCAAAACCGGGATGGGGAAGACAGCAAGACAGGCTTTCATTAATCTGAAATAATCACTATGGAGATCTACTACACTCAGCATAAAGCGTAAACAACATCTGGATTTTCAACACTAATTCAGTCAAGTCAGTGCTTCTATATGGTTCAGAAACTTGGCGCGCTACGAAAGGCATTTCCAACAAACTAAAGACATTCATCATATGAACAGCTGCCGCCTACACTCACTCGATACTGACACTGAAGATCAGATGGCGAGAAAGGATAAGAATAAGCAACAAGGAACTCTGGGGACGAACCAACGAAGCAAGAACCTATCATCCAACAAATATGCAGTGGAAGAAAGTGGAGATGGATTGGGCATAGAGTGAGAAGGCTGACTGGGGACATTACACGCCAGACCAGGCTGTTGATTGGAATCGAGAGGGGAAACGACGAGTTGGGGATCTCAGGCGAGGGTGACATGGAGGAGATGATGTGATGAAGAAATGAAAGCTTTTGTGCAATGGTGAAGCCAGATTAAGGAGACTGTAGAGAAGTGAGTGCAATGTAGGCGTGCTACTGAAGCGGTATATTCCACTAGGAACCCAAGGGAAAAATAATAATAGTAATAAAGGTGTGTGATTGTTGATCCTGTATTTCCTTGACTCCTTCACCACCTTATTGTTAATCCCGGATTTCAAATCTTCATTTATTTCTGCATATTTAAAGTATGTTATGCCATTATTACTACTGCTAATACACTTCTTCATTTCAATTGTAGAATGTTTGCAGCTGATGAAAGGCCGTGAAATACAATGAGCTCATTTTAATCTGAATATGTCTTTGTTCTTGAGTTGTTCAGATAACTATCAATCAGTGCGGTAATAGGTTCCAACCTCATTCCACCTATCAAGATTTAGATAGGCAGGTGGTAGTATCAGTAGCCTTCATACAAAATGTGTAGTACTTTGCCTACTGTATAAATTTGGTTTCATTCGCTTATCAAGAATGGTAGTAATCGAATGATATTAGTCTTTAAACATAAGAAGCAGATCATAAGGATAATGAAGCTTTGTGGTTATCAAAGACTAAAAAACAAGAATAAACTTGGACTCATTCAAATTCCAATGGACAGGAATGTAAAGTATCAGTCGGCTTGAAAAGGATCAAAGTGAACACATTTAAAATCTGTATTCATAGAGGAGAAAAAAACTCATGTAGCATTTGTTTAGACAGAAAAATTATTGTACACCATCTGTTGTGTAAACAAAGAATTTTTATTCATTAAGCTAAAAACAGACATTTTACAAAATTATACAAAGCAAACAGATTTAAAATTTGTTTCACCATATGCGTTTATTGGTTATGTCAGTATGTGGGAGAGTGGGTTGAGACTAGGTCAAGTTACGATGACTTATTCCCTCATTCCGCCGAGTAATTCACAATGGGAAGCTCAGTGATGCTTTCGAAGTGAAGACAGGAGTAAAACAAGGCTGTCTACTAACACCCATGATATTCATGATTGTGGTGGACTGGACTCCATCATGCATCAAACAGTGAGGAGCAAGAAAAAGGGGATACGTTAGCTGGACAGCAGAAAATAACCTGGAAGATTTGAATTTCGCCAATGACTTGTTTCTAATGTCACATAAACTTGAAGATCTACAGGCGAAAATAAACAAGTTGACAGAAGAGTCAGGGCAGCGAAGACAGGACTTCAAATGAATGTAGAGAAGACAGAGGTGATGAAGATATCCAACCAACACCAACACCAACAACGGGAGAAATATAAAGGAAGTAGCCTCTCCCACCTATCTAGGTAGCACTGTTTCAACTACAGGTAGCACAGGCACAGACGAGGATGTCAAAGCCAGCCAGGATCGGAAAAACAGCAGGACAGGTGTTCATTAGCCTGAAACCAGTGTGGGGATCGACTTCACTCAGTATGTGGAACAACATCCGGATTTTCAACAAAAACGTGAAGTCGGTGGCTTAGAGACCTGGCGCGTTACGAAAGCGATTTCCAACAAACCACACATGCATCACATCAACAACTGCCTACACTGGCTCATTACTGAAGATCAGATGGCCAGAATAATAAAAATAAGCAACAAGGAAATCTGGCTGGCTGGCTGGCAACGA